AAGTGTCATTAATGTGACTAATAATTTTTTTATCATGGTATATGACATATTTTTGTAAGCTTAAAAATTTAATTTTAAAAATTTTTAAAACGAATTATATTGGATTTTATAATTTCTTTTTTTGTTGATTGTTATTGTTTCTAGAGTCACGATCCATGTTGCCTAATTATTGTTATTACTATTAGTGATAACAAACACAATTCACATTATAGATGTTGTATTTGTTGAAGTATTTTTTAATAAATTAATAATAAATTTATTCTACATTATCTCAATAAATTTTTTAAAAAACATTTTTCTATTAAATTCATTCATTCACACCATTTTAATATTAGGCTGCGCAACGCGCGGGTAACGTACTAGTAATTTGTAATTCTGACAGGAAGGATGAAAATTTCCCTTTTGAGACATTTCTAAGTTCTAACATTGAACATTAAAATACACTAATTGATCCTTTATGAAAAAATACACCAATTCCAAGACTTTGGAATGCTAATTGTACGATTATTTAGTCTTCCGTGCGGCTCAACATATTTTTATTCTCATGTCTAATTTTAAATTTTTTCAATGAATATTTATCTCACAATTTTTTTGTGTACAAATTATTATTTTATAATTAATATTATAACATGTTTTTTCTATAAAATTTAAAATGATAGTGTGGTCTAATTTGGAAAATTGAAAAATATCTTAATATTGAGAAAAATATTTTGAGAATATTCTTTTCCGTTTGAGAAATAACCCCCTAAGAGTTGGTTCTCAAACCCCTAAGAGTTGAGGAGGATATAGAAATTGAGTTGCGGATAAAAGAAAAGAACCCCTGAGTGAGAATCTCCGACCTAGAGATGCTTTCTCAATTATATCGACCCTGATTTGTCATTTCCCCCTTCTACAGAATGGTTGTTCACTCTTATACTAGAATGGTTCGCTTTGTAATTAGAGGATGGAACTGTGAGCTATGGGTCCACACTTTACTGTTCACACGCCCAAAAAGGGTAACAAACTCGGGGAACAAGACAGCATATAGGACACATCACTTGAAAACCTCAAACGCATCAAAATATTATACTCTTTGGAGCAGAGGTTGCCTCTGTAACAATGTGAAGTGTATTACTGATAGCAGGCGAATAACAACAGGACACTGAAGAACACAGCAATTCAATCATATATCTCCTGTGCT